CACAGTTAATGCTTCATTACTGAAAATGCTATCTACTGATTTTTTTGTTTTGGTAGATACCTCTTATCAATAAGGTCAACAGTCTGATCCCAGTTTCTGAGTTTTTATCACGATGAGGTATTAAATATTAGTAAGCGTTTTTTTTTCCTGTACCTACAGAATCTATCATATGAATTTTCTCCTGTATTTTGCTAATGTCGTTTATGACACTTACAGATATCCTATGTTAAATCACCTTTGCATTTCTGGAATAAACTCATATTGGTAACAGAACTTTACCTTTAAAAATATACTTACAAATTCTGATTTCCAATAATTCTGTTTGAGATTTTGACATGTATTTTAATGAATGACACAGCTTTATAATTTTCTTCACATACTCTTTTTGTATTAGGGTTATACTGGCCTTTTTAGAATGATTTGGAGAAACAGTTCTTTTTCTATTGTCTTGAAGAGTGGATCCTTCAAAGTTTAAGAGAATCTGGCTCTAAAACCATCTGGATTAGGTGTTTTCTTCACAGTAAGATTTTAAACTACTAACTACATACCTGTAACACTTATAATATTATTCAGGCTTCCTACAAGTTTTTGGTGGATTCTATTTTTCTAAATAGTTCTCAATTTCTTCTAAGTTTCTAAATTTACTGGTACAAAGTTCAGAGTACTGGTTTTAGTCTAGCCAATCTTTAATGTACTTGTGGTTGTACACACTTCTATATTTCAGTATTATCTATATGTGCCTTGTCTTTATTCTCTTGTTCACTATCCAAGTGAACTATCTATTTTTCTTACTCTTTTCAAACTATCACCTTCTGAATTTTTTTATCTTCTCTGTCCTGTTTTCTAATTTACTGAATTTTGCTCTTATCTTTCCTAATTCTAATTCTTATTTTCTTTATTTTAATGTTCCTTTCCTATTTTAAGTTAAATGCAGAGCTCCTCCTTTTTCAAGTTTTCTTTTCTAGTGTAAGTATCTACAAAGATAATCTCTCTTCACCAATTTCACTGCAATCTGTCAAATTCTGATTGGTAGTATTCTTGAAACCGGTAGGTTGTGAGCATTTTAGACTTCAAATGTAATTTCTTTTTTGTCTTACTGGTAATTTAGAAGGAATAATAATTTTAAATGCATGGATTTTTAATGTTTTTGTGTTTTTGTTAGTCTGTAGGATATTAATTCTTTGAAATGTGTTAATCTGTGCTTTGTAGCCTAGGTCATGCTGTTTTTGTCCGTTTGTGTATTCCACAGAGTGGACTGTTCATTAAACCAGGATTAAATCAGTTGTTCAAATCCGCTAAAGACAGATGAAGTTCTTATAAATTACAAGTAACTGAGAAAAGTATTAAAAAGTTTCCCAATATGATAGTAAATTTGTCAATATTCTCTAGTTTGGTTAAATTTTAACTTACATATTTTAAGTCTATTTTATTAGGTGCATTCAAATGTGAAACTTACATTTTACTGGTAAACTGGACTTACTACATACTGACCCCTCATTCTCCCCAATAATGAAGTCTACTTTGCTAATGTTAATGTAATTGTTCCATTTTTGTTTAGTTAGCATTTGCTTGAAATATCACTGTCTATCCTTTTACTTTCAGGATCTCTATACCTATGCTTTAAGTGTATCTTTTGTAAAACACATTTAACTTAAAAAAATTCCAACTGATTTGAAGCTTTGACTTTTATAAGCAGAGATTAGGCAATTTATATTTATTACAGGACTTCTTCTATATTACTTTTACCCATCTCTTTTTATTTCCCCTCTTTTTAAATGTTTTTTCCCTTTCTTTACTTTTATTTAGATTGACTGCAAATATTCTTTTTCCATGTCTTAATTCCTTTTTTCCTCCTCTACAGGTCCCTAATACATATATTCTAAATTCTTACGTCAAAAGTTAGCTTTGAACCCTCTCCCAAAAAATACAATTCAACTTTGATCTTCCTTCTTTCAACTTAAATACCATTGCTGCCCACTGTTTAGTTCTGTTCCCTCACTTTTACTTTTTTAAAAGTTTATTTATTTTGACAAGGAACAAGATAGGAGCAGAGAGAGAGAGAGAGAGAGAGAGAGAGAGAATCCCAAGCAGCTACTCACTGTCAGTGCAGAGCCCAATGAGGGGCTCGATACCCTGAACCTTGAGATCACGACTTGAGTAGAAACCAAGCGCTGGACACTCAATGGACTGAGCCACCCAGGTGCCCCAACTTCTTTTTTTAAACGAATTACAGGCTTTATTACTGTAGGGTATCAATGCAAGCAGTTGATGACTTCCACATCACAGATCTCTGCACCTCTATCTCAATCTATATAACTCTTTATCTATATCTAACTACAATCCAGGATCCTTTAAACGTAAAAACATCCAAGTGTCTACTTATCATCTACACTGTATGTCTAACTGCCAGTTAAAACTTCCAAAAAAAGTTTTTACTTCCCATTCTTCTCCCATCTTCGTATCTTAGTCAATACAGTAATAACTATCCAAGGCTCAAACCAAAAAACTCTGCGATAACGGATTCTTCACTTTCCCTCATCTCACAAATCTACTCTACTATTTATCACTCAAAAATATGCTCAAGTTGTTTACTTTTTTAAATCCTCATTACCACCCGCCCCCCACCCCGGTCCAATACCCTAGTCCAACCCTTCACTATTTTTGTACTTTAATCTCCACAAATCAACTAGAGTGATCTTTTATAAATGTGTGCCAATTAACTCTTCACTTAAAATCCCCTGCTCTGTGAATAAAATCCAGAGGCTACCTATCCTGCATAGCTGGGTACCTGTGCACCTCATCTCATGTCATTCTTTTCACGCATTCACTTCAGCTCCACTACTTCATACATGGCAAGCCTTTACATTTTCAATATCTCTGCTCTTACCTTTCCTTCTGTCTAGAAAGCTCTTCCTCACCAACTAATTCTCATCTTTTAGATCCCAGCTCAAAATCAGTTTCTAAGACAAGTAGCCTCTGGCCACTCTAATTAGTGTAGGCCCTACCAGTTACTCTTTATGACATGATTGCTTTCCCATAATTATAGCAGTTTATAATTTAGCACTTTGTATTTTATTTAATATCTGCCTCTCCCACCACATTGAAGCTTCAGGAGGGAATCTCAGTTTGTCTTGTTCATGAATACAATCATGGGATCCAGCACAAGGCTTGGTACATATTTAATGCAAAATAAATATTTGTTGAACGAATAATTACCATCCCAAATTACCTATGAAAAATTTACTAATAGTAAACTAAGTAACAGTGATTCAGGAAGATCAAACATAAAATCAGAAGAGAAGAATAAACACCATTTCAATCACTGTCAAAATCAATTATGTCTGTAAACTTTTCTTTACAAATTTCCTAACGTATTTTATTTCTTACAGAATTAATTTCAAGCTGGAAATTTATACCTTTGAAAAGTACAAATTTTAATGCTAGTCCAAGTTGAAAGAGTTAAGAAAACATATTTATCAAAATAGATTCCGTGAGAGACTAATATTAGAAAAAACCAATTATCAGAAAAAAACATTTAAATTAACAAAGACATACTACCTCAGAAAATGCAAAGCCAAGGTTTCACAATACCAACAACCTTTAAAAGAATAAGCTGTTTAAATATTTAAACAACCTTTAAAGGAATAAATAAGCTAAACATCAAAGGGTTAAAAAAAAGCACATTGTTTTAGCAAAGCAAGTATTAAAACTGTTCTCAAGACCATAAATGAGACAATTTGCATTTACGCATTTCAACATAAAAATCCTATGTCAAATATTAGCAAGCAGAAGCCGGCAGCACGTTCAAACAACATTTCATGACTATACGATCATGTTTATGTCAAGAAGCAAGGGTAACTGAATATTAGGAAACCTAGTAATAAAATAATTCCTCATGATCATCATGGTCAAAGGTGAAAAATCACTGACCATTTCCACTGACACTAAAAAAACTTCAATAAAATTTAACAAACATTCTTACTAGAAACCTATAAAATAACACAAGGGGATACTCCTTAGTGTGATTTAGGAAAAAAAATTGTGTGTGTGTGTGTGTGTGTGTGTGTGTGTATGTGTATGTGTAAAATCAACCTAAAAGTCAGATCATTCTTACTTGGGAGAGATTAGAGCAAGGGTTGTGAACTATGGCCCATGGGTTATTTCCAGCCTGCCACCTGTTTTTATAAATAAAATTCTGTTGGAAGACAGCCACACTCATTCATTTACACACTGTCTATGACTACTTTTACACTACAACACTAGAGCTGACTAGCTACAATAGAGACTGGCCTACGAACTGACAATACCTACCATGTAGCTCTTTACCATGTTAAGTCTGACAATCCCTGTACTAGAGCACTCCCATTAAAGTTAGGAAAAGACAAAGGTGTTTTCCATCAATCACTGATTTCAGAGATATCATCTGATGCAATTAGACAGAAATATTAACACTTCAACATTTTTAACTTTCTCCGTTTCTGTGAATAAATCACCGATTTTCATCTTGAGGCTGCTCTTTCTCCACTGTATAGCAACGGCAGCTCTAAACTCATACCTAACTCAACCAGAACAATCTTTTAAATGCCTCAATTTTCTTTAAAGCCAAGTAGAAATGTATACTGTATCTCAAGAGAAGATAATGAAATTACTAAAAATTTTAAATTTAGTTGTTCTTTGTAAAACACCAAAAGCACTGGGGCGCATTGATGTCACAGTTCATGGGTTTGAGCCCCACATCCCCTCAGAGCCTGGAGCCTGCCATAGATTCTGTGTCTCCCTCTCTCTCTGCCCCTCCCCCCCTCACACTCTTTCTCTCTCAAAAAACAAACATTAAACAAACAAACAAACACAACAAAAGCATAATGAAAAAAATCAGTAGGACTTACTGGTCCTACACAGGGCTTGTACATGCGATCAATAGCATACCCAACATCTGGAAGTTATGTATACCATTCTTGTACAATACGTATAAATCAACCTCACTGTTAAACAAAACATACCCTTCCTGTAGAGATAATTCTTGGTTTTCTTCTTCAGGACCACTGCTATCACTCTGTAGTTCGGGTTCATTCTCATCTTTTCCTGGCAAAGTCTCCCAGCTTTCATCACTTGACGACTGATCTTTTTCAGTACCAGAAAATCGATGAGGCAAAGAAGCAGACCACTCTCCATCACTGCATTCTGAACTGCAAATTCAGAACGGAAAGAAAATAAACCGTCATTATATGTGCATTTACCATTTGGAGACATCATGGTATCGAGTGGACGACAGATGATTCATGATTCATCAGGTGCTAATTCAATTTAAAAAATATTTTAAAAATAAATACAGAAATAAATATATTCAGCAGAAATGTGAATTTTTCAAATGAATATAGCATATGGCAAGTTACAGAATAATCGATTTATGATTTTCCTGACTAAAGTAAATAATTCCATGTTGCTTATAGATTCATTTTTTAGACATATTTCTAAATAAAAGTTTAAATAGAATTTGGCAATCATAAATTAAATGCTATCTGGAATAAGTAATAAGAGATTTATTACTCATCTAACCTGACTAAAATGACTTTCTAATTACATACTGACAATGGGAGACCTATTCTTTACGAATAAATTTCTACTCTTACCATGTTTTAAAAACTTAACTATTTTTCCCTCCTTTTTTACAAAAGATTTTAAAACAAAATGAGATTCAAGTTCATAAAAAACAGCACCGACAAATCTTTACTAAAGTCCTTTGCTAGGACTGTGAACACAAAATAAATTTCAATTCAAGAAAACATTTAGATAAGGAACCGAAGGGTACTGATAAAGGGTTAAGGAAGAACCTTGGAAAATGACTTGGTTATAATTAACTTTGGTTAATTTAGTTTCATTTAATGACTCTTTAAGTACCAGTCATCTTGTACCACAAAGGTGAAAATAAATCTTAAATGCCCCTTCCAAACATATCAACCATTCTGGTCAAGAATCCCCTTAAAGATTTCCCTTTGTGCCTTTATTTTTGAGAAACAAGAAATTAATAAATTTTAGTTTATTTTTGAGAACTGATAATTAGTAAGAAATTACTTTTTCTTTATGATGATAAATTATCAATGGCTATACTACTGATATATTAACTAGTCTAAGGAGTTCCTCCTTCTATAAACAGATGAACCCAGGAGATCAAGATGCTATTAAGAAAAAGCAGCAGTAATGTAAGCTGAGGAGTTAGAAGTAAAAAAATAAAATCAACTTCCAATTGTCAGTAAAGGATGGGCAGCAGGTCACAAATATTCAGGAGAAAAATGTTATACAGCTCTAGCATAGCAAGTAAAAGGTGTTCCTTCAGTTGCATAGAAGCCCTATTGCTTATATTTTGTAAAATCTTTTTTAAGCCAAAAAATAATTTAAGATCAGGTAAACCAGGTCTATACTTGTTCCAGTATAAAAATCTAACATAAAAAATAGTTTAAAAAGACTTTCTGAATGAGGTTTCCTGGCCTATAAAGCCTCTCAACTTTATTTTTTTCAATTTCTTTTAATGTTTATTTTTGAAAGAGACAGACAGAGAGAGAGACAGGCAGAGCACAAGGGGGGAGGGGCAGAGAGAAGAGGGAAACACAGAATCCCAAGCAGGATCCTGGCTCTGTCAGCACGGTGCCCGATATGGGGCTCAAACTCATAAACTGTGAGATCATGATATAAGCCAAAGTTGGACGCTCAACCGACTGAGCCACCCAGGTGCCCCAAAACACCAGGGGTAAGCTCTTACTTTTCTCTTTTAATGTATATTTATTTTTTAAATGTATATTTATTTTTGAGAGAGTGAAAGAGTGCAAGCCAGGGAGGGGCAGAAAGAGAGGAAAATAAGAGGATCTGAAGCCAGCTCTGTACGGACAGCAGGGATCCCAATGCAGGACTCCAACTCATGAACTAAACTGTGAGATCATGACCTGAGCTGAAGTCGGATGCTCAACCGACTGAGCCACCCCTGGCCTCTCAACTTTGTTTTTTAATTTTTTTTAATGTTTACTTATTTTGAGAAAGAGACAGACAATGTGAGCGGAGGAGGGACAGAGAAACATAGAATCCAAAGCAGGCTCCAGGCTCTGAGCTGTCAGCAGAGTCCAAAGCGGGGCTTGAACCCACGTACTGAGAGATCACGACCTGAACTGAAGTCAGATGCTTAACTGACTGAGCCACCCAGGCGCCCCTTGGCCTCTCAACTTACCAGCTCCAATTCTGATACATCTTTAACAATTAAGCTAAGATTTCTTTATTAATTTGTAGCAATTTTATTTATTTAAATAAAAACCTCATATTTTAAACATTTTATGATCCTGTCCAGAACAACACCTGAAAACTATATATTTTTTGCTTAATGAAATAATTGATGGAATACTTCCAAATTTTATATATAAATCATGCTTATGATCAACAGTCAATATATTTAAGAAGCTATGTCACAGACTGGTAGTCTAAGCCTTTGAGACAAATTTGGCCCTTCTGTTTTTTTTTTTTTTATTTATTTTTTTTAATGGTCAGTGAGTTACAATTTTTTTTACAAGTTTATCTTTATTTCTGTCTCTTAGTCAGCAAAAATCTAAAATATTTACTATCCGGTCCTTTAGGAAAAAGTCTGCAGATCCCTGGCCTATATCATTATTACTCATTATATATAACCTTCACCTCTAAGTAGCTAACTTTTAATTATATATCCCCACTTCTGATCACTTAGCTTTCATAATCACTAATGGTGCACCAAACATATTTAGATTTTCATTTCCTTTTCCAAAGTTATAAAGCAAAACTTATCTAACAGATAAGTCCTTTCTTGATTTTCTATCTCATGGTATTTCCCTGCTCTCAAGCTGAAAACCACAGGTCTTTGACTCCTCACAAACTCTCATTGTTTAAGTCCTCTTTCTTTTCCATTCCTCTGTAAAAGGACTCCTTTTTCTCCATTTCTCCTAAAAACCCTGGCTCAACTACTTTTCTCTAAACCTAAACGAAGACAGTCAATTGTTAATTTCTGTCCCTAGATTTAATTTCACTCAACTCATCTAAGAGATGCATTCTGCGGATGCGTAGGTGGCTCAGTCAGTTAAGCATCCAACTTCGGCTCAGGTCAGGATCTCAGTTTGTGAGTTTGAGCCCTGGGCTCTGTGCTGACAGCTCAGTGCGTGGTTCAGATTCTGTGTCTCCCTCTTTCTCTGCCCCTACCCTGCTTGTGGTGTGTGTGTCTCTCTCTCAAAAATAAATAAATGTTTAAAAAAAATCTAAAAAAAGATGTACTCTGAATTATCAGTATTGCTTCAATTTGTTATCAAATCTCCACATCCTTCACTTTTTTCCTAAAGCAGTATTTCACAAAATGAAGCCATCTGCCTACCGCCCTCATAATTTTGCTCTAAGTGTACGTTACCGCTGTGTCATATGGTTCCATAGTTGAGAACACAGGTTCTGGAGTCAGTCTGCCTGGTTTTGAATCCACCACTTGTTAGTTGTGAAGAAGTTACTTAACCTTTCTGTGCCTTTATCACCTCACACACCAGATGACTATGATAGTAGTATCTAATAACTCCCTGAGTTCATATAAGAAGTTAACGAGTTAATCTATATAAAACATTTTAACAGTGCCTGATAAATGGTAAACCATTTAATAGCTGTTAGCAAATCTTTTTTTTTTTTCACATTTTTAACATTATATACTGTATTTTCTTTTCAGATCTATAAAGATGTTTAAGTGAATACTGTAGATAAATTGTTCAGCGCAATTTTTGGAAAATGGTAAACATTTAATAAAAGTGATAGTTACTTTGTTATATAAGCTGTGTGCTTAGACATTTCAACTGGATTTCCAACCAGCACACCACCATTTTTCTCTCTTTTCTACCAAAGAAAATCTATTCTAAATCCTTGGTTTGTCTTACTGAATGGAAATATCAGTCTCCTGTTCACCCAATCAACTTTAGTCTTAGTGTCTTTTTATACCAGGGTTCAGCAAACTATGTCCTGACCTATGAGCCAAATCTGGCCACCTGTCTGTTTTTTAATGGCCTGGAAGCTAAGAACGTTTTTATTTTGTTTTGCTGCATTTTTAAATGGTTGCTGAAGTACCTATATAATACCCTTGATTTTGCCTTTTGGTCCACAAAGCCTAAAAAATATTTGCAGACCCCTGGGGTCCATCCAGCGAAAACACAGCAAAGAAAAAACAAACAGAGGTAAATGGAAGATATATGGAGCAGGAAAGGGTAAGCAAATTGCTCAGTAGTAGCACTAAAGTTAAAAAGGTACCAAGAAAGTCAATCGGATTTGAGAAACAGGAGGATACTGTTAACATTAGAGAATATACAAATAATACTAGGGAGTTAAATTTCAAGGCATTTAAAAGTGCAGAGTGAGGGACGCCTGCGTGGCTCAGTCAGTTAAGCATCCGACTTCGGCTCAGGTCACGATTTCATGGTTCGTGGGTCCGAGCCCTGCATCAGGCTCTGTGCTGATAGCTAGCTCAGAGCCTGGAGCCTGCTTCAGATTCTATGTCTCCCTCTCTCTCTGAATCTCCCCTGCTCTCGTGCTCACTCTCTCTCTCTCTCTCTCAGAAATCAGTAAAACATTAAAAATTTTTTTTAAATAAATAAAAGTGCAGAGTGCAGGAACAAAAAGAGTAGGTATAGTACATTTATTCTGGGAATTCACCAATGGAAGAGAAAACAAACAGGCAACTGGTTAAAGGAAAAAGCAAATCAAGTAAAGGTTTCCTGTCAGGATTAAGAAAAACTACAGAATGTGGAGAAGGAAGCAACTCTGGCATAAGAATAATAAAGTCAAGGGTCAGATATGACTACAGAAAAAAAATGAGAAAAGTCACCACCTTTCATTGAAGAAAAAATTAAAAACAGAAATGGATACTAACATATTGTAATATGGAGAAGGAAAACAAAGTTCAGGTTTAATTATTTTACTATGTCTAAGAAAGCAAGAAACAAAGTTATCTAATAAGGGTGACAGGAGTATAGGGAACTTTTCAAAGAGAATAAGCAACAGAATAAATAGCACAAAACAATCATGAAATTGTAAGGACCCATTTGTTCCCGAATATAAATGCAAATTAGTCAAACATTTTTAAATTCTCAAGTACCACTTTGATTTTTATAGTTTTTCCATAAGTATTGTCTCCTATTAGCATTTAGAGCTATCTTCAACAGCAGACAACTATAAATTACTCAAATGTTACATTTTACACATTCAATTGTGAACCAAAAAAACTCTTTTCATATATTAGATAAAGTTACATGTGATTTCTAGACAAAATAATTTATGTAGTATAAATCTTAAATAGAAATAAGATATAGAAGTAAAAGCATCCAAAAGCAAGCTTTTATTCCTCAAATCCCCCAAGGAACTAGTTTGTTCATCTTCCTTGGCATTTTCACATCGATAAAAACTCAACTATATACAAGCCTAGAGAAAAGTGAAATTTTAGATAATTTTGTTATCTTAGGATCAAAACCACCTTCTGAATTTTACTGAAAATACCTTGGATGGAAATTATGTTACGATATATCATATCTGCCTTTTCAGACAGTATACTGAACATAATCTAAGCAGTCTGGGACATTTTACCACTATTAACAATGAACTATGTTATAATACAGTGATACAAATGGTTAGCTGTTCAAATCTATAAGGCGGTTAATCTAGTAAGAACCAGATGGTTTTTTCTGAATTTGTGTCTGCCTTTTACAATGTTCTGGTCTTTCCCCTAAATATCAGAATATTATAATCTGTAACCCTTTAGCATGCCTGAAGAGCAAAGCTATTTATCCCTAATTTACTCCTAACTTTTATGAACTTGGAAATAAGATAAAAAGGTCTGCTAAAATGTTAGAGCATATGCTTTAAGATCTTTGCTTTGGCTACTCATAGATGCTTAACTGTTGGGATACAGGGATATCAGAGGAGTTCCTTCTTCGTGGCTCTCAGCTAACTTACATAGAAGAGAAAAGGAACTTAATTTAGTCTCATAATAATTATCTACATATTCTTTCTTCCTCATAAGGCTGGTGAACACCAAGGGAATGGGGATCATTATTATTTGCAGTTACAGAGTACCTGACACTTAAGGAAGATTTTAATAAATCATTTTTGAATATATCAAACTGAAATCAACTGAATGGCTAATATTCCTTTTATTTTCCCAACATCATCAATAACAAAAAGTTGTCCTGACATTTTTATCTCAGATAAAACGCAATGCCAAGGTCTAGGGACAGAAAAGCTCTGAAAGAAACCTCAAGTACTATAAGAAATGGTCAGTGGATGGCATGCCTCTTTCTTCACACAGTGAGGCCCAAGGTTAAAATGTGCTGGCATGGTTAAAAGGTTCTTTTAAACACTAGATCTTGTCTTCAGTTATTAAAGTTCTCAGGGTATATTTCAAAAGAACAAGATGTTAACCTTAGCTCTTTGGTCTAATTCCAAGTCTGGTAATTACATACTGCCTATTAAAATTCCCCTCGCAATTCTAATTTAATAAAGTGGTGTTCGGTTCCTGTCAAACAGCTCAGAGCAATTCTACCAGCTGCAATGCTTATTCCATAAAGTGTAATGTTTCAGGTATAATTAAGTGATCATTTAAAAGTTTTCAGGAATATGCATCATGGATTCATTCAAATATCTTTCATTTTTAAAGAAAATATGAACTAAAGTATTTATTTTTTGAACTATATTTTTTACAAGTGGCCAAAATTCCTGTAACTAAAAATGTCACAGTGATTTTAGTTATGTTCTCGATAAGATGGTTCTGTTTGTAGCGATTATAAAGCAAACATGGTGAGAAAAATTTTCAAGTATAGCATCTTTACGTTTTACAAAGCAGAGAAAACTTAAAAAGAATCTTACAGACTCAAGGCAAAGGTTATTTATATCTTCCTTCTCAAGACACTTATTGTAGAATCACTGTTTCCCCATTTTTCTAATCTGCTATTATCAGAACTCAGCCAAAGTATAGTAAAACACCTAGTAGACTAAGAGCAGGCAAAATGAAACTAAGTAGGAATGTATTGTCATTAAATTTCAACCTTTATCTGACACCATATTAAAAGGGATTCTGGCAATTGTGATCTTTTTTTTTGCAGGGAGTTGAGAGTAGAGAACAGGAAACAGTAGCATAGAAACTGAGTTACTCTCAAAAATGTCCAGACTACTGAAATGAGATCCTAAACATATCTCAAGGCTTACAGATGCAAATATAAATAGAATTCTAGGTAGAATTATCCTTGAGAAGTTATTCTTGTGATGGTAGTTTTCAAAAAACAAAACCAAACAAAAAACCCTAAGTGTTTCTGGCATTTGAATGTGTCTTAAAGATTACCACTAGGGGCACCTGGATGCCTCAGTTGGCTAAGCGTGCAACTTTGACTTCGGCTCAGGTCATGATCTTATGGTTCCTGGGTTCGAGCCCCACATTGGGCTCTGGGCTGACAGCTCAGAGCCTGGAGCTTGCTTCAGATTCTGTGTCGCAGACTCTCTCTGTACATACCCTGCTCATGCTCAGTATCTCTTAAAAATAAATGAACATTAAAAAATTTTTTTTTACACCGGGACAGCTGGGTGGCTCAGTCAGTTAAGTGTCCGACTTTGGCTCACTCAGGTCATGATCTTGCAGTTCATGGGTTGGCCCTGCACTGGGCTCTGTGCTGACAGCTTGGAGTCTTGGAAAATGCTTCAGATTCTGTCTCCCTGTCACTGCCCTAAACCCTCCCACCGTCCCCTGCTGTCTCTCAAAAATAAATGGAGGAAAAAGAAAAAGATTGTTCCAAAATTAGTTCCATCTTTTAAGCACACCCTAACTTCAGGTTCTTTTAGTACTAAAAAGTCAAAAGAAAAAAAGTTTCCTATTAACTGTGTTTTTCTCATCCATATATTGTTTGTAACTTTGTAACGATCTATCATTGCTTAGAATATTGACATATCACTTAAGGAAACAAATTATAAATAAACATACTAAAACAACACCCTATAACCATTAAAAGTCAAACGGTCATTCTAGGCAAATAGAATGCTAATACTATTGACTTAAAAAAAAAAACAACCTTAAATATCAAGAGCCAAGAAAATTACTCTTGAGGTTGACAAACAATGCAAAATTTCATTAACTGAATTAAATGACATTAGGCCTGACTATAAAACGCACACAAAAAAGAGGTATTTATTATTTTTGATTAGTGTCTCCAATGATGAAGGAATGGCCAAATTAAATTAGTTCCTTCAGGAAAGCAAAAATGTAACTGCAGGAAAAAAATCTTATACTTCCAAAAAGTTAAGTTTTCTAAGACTATAAATTGATGTTATTATTTTTGATAGCAACCTAGAGGCATACTAAAGGTTTATAATCAAGTCCAAAATTCTTAGGGCTGAGTGTGTTCTGGAATTCAGATTTTTTTCCTAAGATCAGAAATACTACTTAATAATTCCCAGCAGGGTCCAAGTCAAAAACTTAGTAGTCAAACACTGATATTTCTGCACCAAACTGTTATGAATGCTTCAAAAAACGGCCTCATGTTAGTTCAGATCCAGACCTGTATCAAATTAACACCAATTTAGGTTTTGCTGCCAATTTCCATTTTAAGATTTTGTGGACCTAAACTGAAAATACTGAAATAAATTAGGCCATAGCTCTTAACTAATTTTACCCTTAAGTTTAAAAACTAGTAGGTTATATACATATTGTCTGCTAACCCTTGAAGTTTATAAACTTCAAAGACAGTAGAAACTCTATTTCATTTGTTTCTACAAGTTACTTACAGTGTATTACAGAAGCTTTATCCATCTACCCAAAGAAAACTAGCTATATCTTATTAATTTTATGATATAAAATAAAATACATAAAATGTATTCATATTAAAAAGATGGTTATATGAAAGTTTGGACTCTACAATAATGAAAAGCCAGAAGCTGAAGAAAGAAATCTTCCATTTCTCTCTTCTTTCTATGGTCTTACAGTTTGGGGGAATAAAAGATTCTATGTAGCGGAATCAGAATGTTTATTATAAGAAAGGCTGTATGTGTTCTTAAAAATAGTAAATTTGGATTGGGCAGATATGCAAATTCCAGCAAATTTACTAGCTCTGTGACCTTGAGAAGTTAACTCTCCTGTGCTTCAGTTTCCAAATCTATAAACAGGGGAAGTAAAAATATGCACCACACAGAGTTGTGACCAAAAATCAAATGCTGAATAAAAGTAGGCGAAAAAAAAAGTGATAAAAAGAGCAACAGGAAGAACAGAGAAATAGGTAACATTAATAAATATTGACAAAGTTCATTCAATATTATCAAAATTTTCTATGATCTTAATCACTTTTTAAAACCAGAATGGGTTAACATATTTTTTAAAAAATATACAATAAATGTTTACCTTCAATTTATTAGCTGAAACATTATGAACTGAAATAATTAGCATCTCTATCCTTTTGTAAGAACAAATAATCATCATCTGAACTTACAATTTCTATAAATCCCTAAAATGCTTCAAAGGTTTCTGTGAAAAACTAATCAGTAGTTTGCAAGTATGGTTAGCACTCAGTAAATACAAATATTCGGTAAATCAAAATACCTAATTCCCTGACCGTGCCAGAGAGCCCATCCATCAAACCTTAATGGTACTAGAAATAAACCACCCTGCTTATTATGCAATCTGACGAAGCACTGCATGAAATCTTACCTGTCTTCGTCTTTGTCATACAGTTGGTAATAATCTCCACAGCCATTCCAAAAGGTGTTATCCACAACTTCTTGCCTTCCTGCCGTGGCTCCGCTTTCTGCTGTAATTTGGTTATGTTCTGTTTCCCTATGTGTAACTCTTGAGTAAGGGGGATCCAAGAACATGCAGTCATGTTCTCCATCGTAGTCATCACATTTTATTAAGAGGTCATCTGAGCCATTCTCCTCAACTTCCAAAGCCTCCCTCCACCTCTGGACACTTCTTTGTTTAGCCTCATGCCTATTAAAACCTGTTTCTTGGTCCACCTGGCTTGAACTTATCAATTTTCTAACTTTGGGTCTCACTACCTGTTCAGGAGAACTTGCCTGGTTCTTGCTCTTATCACGAGTATTTTGTTCACTGCAATTATGCCGGGGGACACACACTGAATCTTCAGTTTCATTTCCTCTCTGACTCTCCTTACTAGTATTATTTTGTTGTTTCTTTCTAACAACTTCATCTTCAGAAGAGGACCTCTGAAATTCCTGACTGTTCTGATTGACAAACTCAGTATCACCAGTGGAACTTTTGACTAAAGGTGCTGAATCTAACTCTTCAAATTCATCTCTTACTTCACAGTTAAAAGAGGGAATTGGAGGTGAAAGACCAGTGTATGCCTCTACCTCTCCATTTGCCAACTCAAAGACTGCATTGCTCAATGCTTCCTGATATTCACCACCTTCCACAACTTCTGCAGAAAGCTGAAGACGGTCATTGGCCTCTCCGTGTGTGCCATCTGGATCATAAGAGTCAGTATGCACCAATGAAATTCCATTTTGTACACTTGAAGCATCGCACGCTTCTGGAGTATATTCTCCCTCAGAGTGATTATGAAGATTTGTACTGTTTCCTAAAGTCTCCCTGCCCTCCTCACTATGATGTACTGCAGCAAAGGATGGGCTGCTCTCAATGGTTTGATTTGATGTTGTATCACAAATGGGAATTTCTGTTTCACTTTTTTCAAACAAAGGGTCGTTGGGTAAAGAAGAATGAACTTGATCTGATGGACTGGAACCTTCATAGAAAACAAAGAAAACATTTTTGGAAACATTAGTTTTAGATATAATTTTAATAAATAATGACTATTTAAGTAGAAATTATACCAATCATTACTCACTTGAATATCAGTGAATTTCTTTAACGGGTACTTCTATGCCCCTTAACTGAGAGAGCACACTGGTTACCCTATGAGTTCACTTATGGCATCGTATAGCGCCTCAATATCCTCTATCAGATGTCTTTTGGAGGTTTTCCACCTAACTGCTAATACCTAAAACATTCTGTAAAACACATTAAAAGGAGAGGCTAGTGGAAAAACTACACAGTGAGAGGCATAAGTCAAGTCATAGGGTAACCAATCTGCCCTTCCAGTTGTTAAGGCTCACAATTCAAACTTCATTTCTTTTATGATGTGCAGGTAAAAAAAAACCCAACAACTTCACAAGTACTTTTGATAGATAAAAGAACAGCTTACACATCTAACAGAAATGAAACTCTATTGTGTTTGATGTCAATTCAGAAAATTATATTTCAGTCTCTAGATATATTAGATTTCTACCCCAAATGGATTTTTAATACACCTACAATAATGAGTTACCTTTACATAATGTTACAGCTATAACTACAAAACAACAAAAAAGTCAACATGTTGAGTCACTTTGCCATAGATTGTCAGAATCTTATTAAAAGAATAAAATCAGATCTATTCTATAAATCACTTAATCTTTTATCACTACTAATGTAATAATAAAAAATGAAGATATCTGAGATTTGTTGGAACAAAAATTTATAAATTATAACTAAAGAGCAGTTTTGTCATATCACAAAGGCTTCTTTAACAGAGTGAACTCATTAACTAATAATTCAGAATCTTACTTATAAATGACAGTAAAAATAATTTAGAATTATCAAATTTGCTCAGGACAAGAGGACTATACTTCAGTCCAAAGATGTATAATTACAATACATGGACATCTACAAAATACTTTTTTTTCCTTTTCTAAGTTAATTTATTTACTTTTTAAGAGTGAGAGAAAGCACGAATTGGGGAGAGGCAGAGAGAGAGGGAAAGAGAGAAAATCCCAAGCAGGTCCATACTGTCAGTGTGGAGCCCAATGTGGGGCTTGAACCCATGAATCATGAGATTGTAACCTGAACTGAAGTGATGCTTAACTGACTGAGCTACCCAAGCGCCCCCTGCAAAATACTTTTTAAGACCCCTGAATAATTAAGAGATTTTCATTAAATAACTAAGTACTACTTGACATTTATATTTCATAAAATGATTTTAAGAAATCAAATTAGCCAAGCTAAAGTATTTAGAGAAACAACAACACAAAAACACTATAAAACATAATATGCAGGGAATAATATATTCAGTTCACATTAAAAATTTTTTGACTGAAAGATAAAGCTCTCCCCTAGCTGAGGGATGTGATGATATAGTTACATTTTAATGACTAGCTGTATTCTATTTTCTTCTACACTTAAATGTATATATTGTTAATATTAAATTCAATGAAACTATCAGAATAGAATTTCTTGGTAGGAAGTGTACATTTGTATCCACAGACACATAAAACCCACACACAACTTCCAACAGTACAAGATCAATTCCTACATGCTTATTAACGAGCTCTTACATAAATCCATGTATGCATACCTGAGGAATTTTCCTTTGGAACATCATCTAGTTCCAACACTTCATAGTCATCACCAGCCCGACCTAAACTTCTTTCATGCCTGGTCATACATGGTTTAAAACTGACATATGCATGTCTTCTTCCGTATCTCCTGCCTGTGATTGTCTGATATCCTCCTGCTGGTTTGGGCCAAGCAGCCTTGCTGGATTCTTGATCCATTGCTGAAAAACATAGTTAAAATTAAGAGAGGCATGCAATGACCTTTATTCTGGTGACCAGCAGAGGTAATGTTTCAACCCATATGCTATAACCTGCCAAATCATATGCTACTGAACATTATATGCACCTTACTAACACTGTAAAACAAACTTGAAAAGTAAACGTGAAATACTAGGTTACAAGAGTTAATTGGCCTCTTTATCCCCCCAAAAAACTTTTAAAGTTTGGTACTTTTAATATATCTCAGATTTTTAGAATATAACCTAACAAAAATGATTTTTCATATGCCAAATTCATAAGGGATACTGCAAAAGCACATTAAGGATTAGACAATGATCCTCCAAATTATCTAAGTACCTTATGTATAAATGCTTAATACATATTTGCTGAGTTAATTACTAGTACGTGAAATGATGGTTTCAATTACATTAACTATGAATACATTTCTATCCAAAGGCAACTTCTTTAAATGGCATCTATACTACCAGGAAGAAACAACTGGACCATAATAAAACATCCCAAAGACTAGGGTCAGATAAAATTCTCCAAAGGAAAACAGCAATGAGCCAAGTCAAAAACATGCTATCTCACTTTTCAAAACTACAGTAAACATTATGGTAGCAAAAGCCATCAACATTTGAACAACTTAAATACTACGTTTTGACAGCTGAGGGATGTATACAGTAGTAAACAGTAACATCTTACCTAAGTAGAACATTACCATATCTATATATAAAAAAGTGCTAAGTTTCTTTAATTAATGAAATTTTTCATATACTATACAAGAACTAAACAAAATATTTTAATTTTTTTAAATGTTTATTAACTTTTGAGAGAGAGAGAGCACGAGTGAGGGAGGGGCCGAGAGGGGGGAAACACAGAATCTGAAGCAGGCTCCAGGCTCTGAGCTGTCAGCACAGAGCCTAATGCAGGGCTTGAACCCACCAACTGTGAGATCATGACCTGAGCCAAAGTTGGGATGCTTAACTGACTGAGCCATCCAGGTCCCCCTAAACAAAATTGTATCTCACAGTATATAAAACAGTCAGTTTCTGGAAAAGTTACATATTTTTGTTTTACTGCATTAAAATAAGTAGAATTGCTTCCAAGCACAAATGAAAAACAAACATGTATTTATACAGTTATCAAGATTAACATTATTTAATCTCCTTAAAAACCTTACAAGGTAGGAACTGTACTTCATTTTAAAGATCAAAAAATTAACGGTAACATTAAGTATTTAGTAATTTGTCCAATAATCAAATAGCATGATTCCAGAACCAGTGCCCTTAATAGCTCCTCCAAAGGAAAAGTCTCCAAAATGGAAAACACAACAGAAGCCAAGGGAGTAAAGAAAGAAAACATAACAATTTTTATTTATACATATTTTCATATCAAAAATTAGAAATTAAGCTTTACAAATATTCAACAGATCAAAAATGGTCTCATATAAGACCATGATTACAAGTGGAAGGTATTATCCTAAGTGAAATAAGTCAGAGAAATACAGGTATCATATGTTTTCACTCATATGGGGAACTTGAGAAACTTAATGGAAGACCATGGGAGATGGGAAGGGGAAAAAAAGTAGTTACAAACAGAGAGGAAGGGAAGCAAACCGTAAGAGACTCTTAAATACAGAAAACAAACTGAGGGTTGATGACAGGGGCAGGCCAAAGGAGAGGGGGAAATCGGTGATGGGCACTGAAGAGGGTACTTGTTGGGATGAGCACTGAGTGTTATATATAAGCGATGAATCATGGGAACCTACCCCCAAAACCAAGAGCACACTGTATACACTGTATGTTAACCAACTTGACAATAAATTATATTTAATTAATCAATTAATTTATTTTAAAAAGGCCATGATCCCATGCCACGTATGGTATTCGAGGTATCTAGGAAGAAAAATATAAAATCCTTAATGTAGAGGGACTGACAAAGACACTTTGCTTACCTGCTGGCTCTTTTTCAGTATACTGTGACATATATGGAAGTTTTTGTGTGCCCAGTTCAGTGCAATTATGGATGTGAATTATTTTTTATTCAGACAACAAATAAGCTGCAGAAGATTCCTACAAGGAAACCACAGATTAAACAAAACATTGATAATACAAGCACAAAACAAAAATAACAAAACTAATGCTTCTCCTAACAAAGCACTTTGTTAACCTTCTAATATCAGAAAACTACAATCTGATCTAACAATCCGTCAAAAAACCTTAAAACTGTCAAGATGGCTATTTGAAAAGTTACATCTCCTCCTGAAAAACCTTGTTGTAACCATGTAGCATCCTTAAGACTGACATAATAACAACAAAAGTAAATAAGCAAATATAGTGGAAGAATGCTGAATGAAGTATGTGACCAAACGATCTGGGAGTCTACTACACTATGCTATCTTTGCTTCTACATCAAGTGCTATATAGTTCCCTTAGCTTTGGCATTGTTAAAAAAAAGTTAACCCTATTAATACAAACTTTATTTTCAAAATATATAATGGCTTATGACAATTATAAATTAATGTGTGTAGGGGCGCCTGGGTGGCTCAGTCAGTTAAGCATCCGACTTCAGCTCAAGTCATGATCTCACGGTTCATGAGTTCAAGCCCTGTGTCAGGCTCTGTGCTGACAGCTCAGAGCCTGAAGTCTGTTTAAGATTCTGTGTGTGTGTGTCTCTCTCTCAAAAATAAACATTAAAAAACATTTTAAAATAAAATAAAATAAAAATCAATGTATGTGAATAATAATATACTTATTCTTTACAACAGTCAATTTACTATTCAGATATTTTGATCCCAAATAAGAACCTATTCTAAATTAGAAAAACTAAAATGTGTCATGTAACAAATATAAAAAGAACTTTTGTTTCTAAATTAATCCATTTACTGTTTCAAAAGTTGCAACCTGTGCTCTTTTAAGTTTGGTAAGGGCTTATGTTTTCATTTAAACAGCTCATTTACTTAAACACTGGAGTTATTGCTAATTTTATACCACCACTTATTAAAAGATGATAGTTCTGCAGATGAGCTTAACTGTATTATCTAACCACAGACAGCTCTATATTTACATACATGAGTACATTCACACATTCTCCCATATAAATTATAAATTCAGCAACACGTTATAATCCTCTAATCTGTCTGAACCAAATCAGATTGTTAGCAAGGGTAAAAGCTTACCAAAAAAATAATCTTAACATTGAGGCAAAAAGATAAGCTCTAATTAATATTGTCTTAGTACTAAGGAAAATGATCTGAAATAACTTGAGTTTTCACACAGTCATAGTATAGTACATGACAATCTTAAAGGATGACCATACATTTAAATTCACAAGTATTTCACCTAAAGTGAAATACTTTGTTCTTTAGAATAAAGCTTTATTTTACTATGTTCCAGGCTCTATTTTAAGTGCTGAGGGTTCAAATAATGAACAAAGTGGACACATATCACTGTCCTCCTAAAATTACAGTGTGATATACACACTAAACAAAACAAGGAAGTAAATAAATGTAAGTTAGATAATACATACAATGGAGTAAAATAAAGCAGAGAATAAAGGGTTGCTGAGGGTGCGCAATTTAAAATATGGTATTTAGGGAAAATCTCACTGTGAGGGGATCATCTGAGCAAATACCTGGTAAGGGAGAGAGCCATGTATAAACGTAGGAAAAGAACACTGCAGGCATAATAAATCAAAGTTCTTGAGGTGAGAACTTCCAGAAGTGATCATAGCAAGAAGTCTGGGACGGAATGAACAAGACAGAAAGCAACAGATGAGGTTAGAAAATTAATTAGGGTGGGTGATGTGAGGTCAGATGGAACAGATCACATAGGCCTTTATAAAGTAACATAAGAAATGTAGGTTATATTCTGAGTGACCTGGAGAAACACTGACGAGTTCTGAACACAGACCAGACATTACCTAACTTCTGTTTTAATAAAACACTCTGGCTACTATTTTGAATAGAGTGAAGGGGAACAAGGTCAAAGGCAAGGAGCCTGTTTGCAAAGCTATTGAAAAAATATTGGCAAGAGATCACAGTGGTTTAGACCACGGTAAAAATAGAGGTGGTGAGAAACTGGTCAGATTCTGAATATATTGTGAAGGGAATGTCAACAAAGTTTTCTGATATAGGTTATAAAATAAGGTAAGGTGTCGAGTATGACTCTTTCTTTATAGCCTGGACAACTGGAAACAAAGAGTTGCCATTAACTGAATGAAGTAGGAAAATTTGTGAAAGATGCAGGTTTGGAGAAAGTATCTTCAGTTTAGTTTTACATGTATTAAGTTTAAGATATCTATCAGACATTCAAGCAGCAATGTTAAGTAGAAGCCTGGAGGTGACTGAAGAATTCTGCTCTGCAAGTATAATTTGGGAGTTATCCGTAGATAGATAATATTCAAAAAGGCACAAACTTGGACAAGACTTCTAAGTGTACTTGGAAAAGTAAAAAAGGTTCAAGGACAGCCCTGAGACAATCCAATAATAAGAGACCAGGAAAGAAGTACCAGAATAACTGACAGAGGCGAATGGAGAGAAAAGGAAAATCCAGGTGTGGATGCCAAAAGAAGAAAGTGCTTCAGACAGAAGAACTAATCACTGTGCCAAATGCTCCTAAGAAATAAAGTATGAGGAGGATCTATAACTGACCAACGAACTTAGCAACATGGAGGATACTGAGGATCTTTGACAAAAGCAACTCTGGTAGAATGGTGGATGTAAAAGCCTGATCAGAATGTCAGAATGTCACAGATATGGTAAGGAAAGGAACTGGAAAGAATACCTAAGTCCTGAAAATCACCATGTCTTAATAATTTTCTTTAATGTGATTTCACTTGCTTCCTAAAGGTGTTCTCTTCTGAACCCAACAAAATTTAGTCTACTTGTTTTCAAGACCTGTGACCCCCACCATGATAACTTTTGACTGCTTCTAAGCACAGTCCTCTGATTTGAATCCCATGTTCTCGCGTGTGTGTGTGTGTGTGTGTGTGTGTCTTTACTAGAACATCAAGTATTTGTTTCAGAAATTTTATATAAGGTGGTAAACTTTGGGTCCTTGCATGTCTTAAAACATTTTCATCTCTCCCTCACACTTCAGGAATAGTTCAAGAAAAAACATTTTTTCCCAACTCTGAAAGGCATGGTTTTCCAGCATCCCAATATGGCATCTCATTCTGCCAATTTATTTCTCATTTTTTGGTAAGTAAGCCAATTTTTCTCCATGGAGATAATACTGAGGAGATGCTCTTAATAAACGGTATTCTAGAATTACACAGACTTTTTTTTTTAGGAGAAGGCTATTTTACAATTTGTCCTACACAGCCACTATTGGGCTGTTTTAAACACTCATATCAATTTGTCTCAAAGATGTCCTTTTTTAAATTTTTTTTAACGTTATTTGGAGAGAGAGAAAGAGACAGAGCGCAAGCAGGGGAGAGGGAGGGAGAGAGAGAGAGGAGGACACAATATCTGAAGCAGGCTCCAGGCTCTGAGCTGTCAGCACAGAGCCCGATGCGGGGCTCAAACCAATGAACTGCTAAATCATGACCTGAGCCGAAGTCAGACACTTAACCGACTGAGCCACCCAGGCACCCCAAAGATGTTCTTTTTTAAAAATTCCTATTTTCTCTGTATTTGTCCTACATAGATTAATCCTTTGTGAACTTTTCTTTCTCATTTGTACTCTAAGAGATCATAAATTTCATCTACTTTTACTTTGAGCCTTTCAGTATTCTCTGTAATAATCTTTCAAATTTTTTTGTGCTTTCTTCTCTTCTGCTTCTTTTATTATTATTTTCAACAGTGGTTCATGCCTATGACTAAAACGTAGACTAGAATCTCTCTGTAGATACTAATTATTTCTATTTCATTTTGAAGGACAGGTACACTCAAGTATCTCTAACAGTGCTATCTCATTTCCATATTAAAAAAGGTATAAAAAAGAGAAAAAAGCAGAACACATAGGGGAGAGGATGAATAATAACAAAGAAAAACCACAGTGGTGTATCAAGATTAAAATGATTAACGCAACAGTCCCAAATCTGTGTCTTAAGTGAATCAGAAACAGTGTCTCTGAGTCCTCTTAGAAGGGACGTTTTCTTTTCTGAATTAATCTCTTGCTCCCTGTACTGTTCACTTAATAAGTAACATATGACTCCTTTCTACTTGTGTTTATTCATTTCAAATGCAATTATTTATATTTCTTACTAATTGTCATAAAGCAAAATATATAAATGTGTTGCTGTCTAAGAATTAAAATTAAATCAGTGAAGTATTAATTCTAGATCTTATTAACCTATAAGTCATCACTTTGAACTGTTAACTAAGATAGATATGCCAGCAGCTATAGAAAGGCAATAGAGGGGCGCCTGGGTGGCTCAGTCGGTTAAGCATCTGACTTCGGCTCAGGTCAGATCTCACGGTTCGTAGGTTCAAGCCCCGCATCAGGCTCTGAGCCTGGAGCCTGTTTTGGATTCTGTGTCTCCCTCTTTATCTGCCCCCTCCCCCCACTCATGCTCTGTCTCTCTCTGTCTCAAAAATAAACTATAAAATAAATAAATAAATAAATAAATAAATTTTAAAAAAGAAAGGCAATAGAAATAACCTTCAAAAGAATATAAGGGAAAGCATGGGTATGGGATATATGCCTCCAAAAGGAGAATTTAAAGAGCTGTGATTTTAAAGACAAGACCTTGTTTTAGTTTTACCTGAATGCACTAGGTCTATTAAATGCAATGCTTCTAACACCTTGTCTAACACAGTATGTATGTAAATGGTTGAGCAAATGGATGAAAGAACAATTCTGTGCTCCTTTCTCTGATGGAAATGAGGAAATATAATTAAAAGAAAGGGCTAAGTGTTAGGTACACATGGATCTAAACTCCAACTCTGATACTCAGGCAAGATAAATGAAAGCTAGTGATGGTTTAAGCAATTAAAAACAATAAAAAATCTAAATAGTAATGAATGCAAAAGAACTTAGGCAAACAGAGTAATGAGTGCTCATATTCCTATATGAACACAATACACACTAATATCGGTACATAGTAGACCTACATCTTGAATTGCCTT